CTTGTTCTTTGATCTCCTTGGGGCACAGACCTAGTAATGGTGTTGCTGGGCCAAAGAGTATGCACAATGTTATAGCCCTTTGAGTATAGTTTCAGGTTGTTCTCCAGAATGGTTGGACCATTTCACTACTCCACCAACAATTCATTAGTGTCCCAATTTTCACTCATCCCTTCTAGCCTTTGTCATTTCTGATAAGTATGAGGTGGTATCTCAGAGTTGTTTTAATTTGCATTTCTCTGATCAGTAGTGATTTAGGGTTGGTTTTTTTTTTCATATTTTTGTGTGTTTTTTTTTTAACCAAGCTGTTAATTCCCTTTTCAAAATTTTCTTGCATCACTCTTATTTCTTTTCCCAGTTTTTCCTCTACCACGCATCTCTTTCTTTAACTCTTCCAGGAATTCTTGTTGGGCTTGGGTCTAATTAGCATTTTTCTTTGAGGCTTTGCTTGTAGTTGTTTTCCCATTGTTGTCTTCTGAGTTTATGTTTTAGTCTTCCCTGCCCGTAGCAGCTTTTTATGGCCAAGTCCTTTTTTTTGTTGTTTGCTCATTTTCCGGTTTATTTCTTGATTTTGAACTTTATGTTAAAGTTGGGCTTTGGGGAGAAACTGTCCCAAGCTTCAGGCTTTTTCATGCTGCTGTTTTCAGAGCTAGTTCTGGGGATCAGTAAGTTTTTGATGCTTCTAAAGTGGCATGATCCTGGGAGAAGCATGGTCACTGCTCTCCTGATCTATACTCTGGTCTTTACCTAGGAAGACCCCTGCTCCCTTGTGACTGACCACAAGAATTCCTCTCTACCCTGGACCCCTCCACCTGTGACCCAGAACTGCATATGGGCAATAGAGTTGCCAGTCAGTGCCAGCAAAGGATCTCCTGTAATCCTTTCTGACCAGTTGTCTAAACCCTTCCCTGTCTCTGAGCTGAGAGCTTTGGAAGCTGCTGCTGCTACTGCTTCCACTGTGACAGTCACAGCTGCTGTCCTCTCCCCACGTGCTCCAGGCCAGCACCCACCCAGGTATTGTAGATTTCTCCAGCTGACCTCCTAAGTTTTCTCAGGCCAGAAAAATGTCTCACCCTTACCTTTTGTTGGCTCTGCCACTCTAAAATTGGATTTGAGGTGTTATTCTAAAGTTCTTTGGAGGGAAATTTGGAGAGAGTTCAGCTGTGTGGCTTCCTCTAATCCACCATCTTCTATATAACTCTGTAAGATTCACAAAGCACTTTACCAATATTATCTCACTATCTTCACAACCACCCTGGAAGGTGCCATTATTATCCCCATTTTATAGATGAGGAAACTGACGTAACCAGGTTAAGTGACATCATCATCGTCATCATGGTTAACATTGGTAAAGTGCTTACTATGTGCAAGGCACTGTAGTAAGTGTTTTACAATTATCATCTTGAACAACAACCCTGGGAGGCAAGTGCTGTTAATATCTCCATTTTATAGATGAGTAAACTGAGTCAAACAGAGGTCAAGTGAGATGCCCAAGGTCAATTTCTCCTGACTCCTGGTCCAGCACTGCACTCAGTGCACTACTTAGTACCCCAAATGTAAAAAGTAACATGAGAGGGTCAGGCTAGGTGACCTCTACAACCCCTTCCAACTTTAGATCTATGGATGTGAACTCACCAAGGACAGCTGCCACTCCCTTGATCTCTCCCTGTTTCAATCTCTGCTCTAGTCATCATCTCCATTCCCTCCCCCCCTGAAAATTGGACTGTGCCCCTGGAAGTACACTGGGCTTTTAAAGTCCAGCTTTGGCCTTGTCTGTCCCAGGCCTCCATAGCCCTTCCTGGACATCTCTGCCAGTTGCAGAGCAGTGTGTGGGATCCCAGCCCATCCCCCCTCTACCCCCTCCTAGCTCTCCTTTGTGTGTGTCTTCCCTTCACATTCAGTTGCAAGTTCCTAGAGGGAAGAGCCCGTCTTGCTTTTATTTCTGTCTCAGCCGCCAGCACGATGTCTGGCACATAGTAGGTCTTAATATGTCCCATCCATCCATGCATCCATCTGTTAGCCGTCTGTCTGACTTTACTGGCCCAGGTGATGCTCTCTCATTCCTGCAGACCTTGGCAGGAGTCGCTTTTATGCTCAGGGCTGGGTTTTATGGTAATGCCGAGGCCATGCTGAGTCAGCCCCACCACATTACCCCAAGGTCAAGTTCCTCGTGTTTCCAGGGGATGAGTTTATAGTGGATTAGTTTTTTAAATAATTAAAATTAATTGCAGCAACCAAAAATCTTGCTCATCTCCTCATCTCATCACTTAATTCCTGGGTGTGCACAGAGTGTCCACAAATCTTTCTTGGGCATTTTCCCGGTCATTATTGCACTTTGTGGTTTGCAAAGATACTTTTGCTGAAATGGGAGCTGAACAAGTGTAGGTATTTGGAGAGGAGTGACTTGTATTGTGTTTAATTCATTTACCTCTGAATTGCTACTTTAACAAAACCAATGGTTAACTAGAAACCATTCAGCCAGACCATGACTTCTGTTTTTGGATTCTTTTGCAGCTATCTCAAAAATAACTCAGCAATTAATGTTCCTGAATTATTCAGCAATGCCCACCCCGCTGCGCAGACACTGAATTTATTATGACATGACTTCATTTCATCAATTCCCACCTTTTTTTCTTTACTGCCTTTCCCCCTCTTATCATCACCCAGCACGTCCCTTTCCCTTCTCCCCCTCCCCAAATGGTCCCTCTCATCTGAGGATTGAGATAAACTGTCTGCCTGGGTTTAGTTGGGGGGGGGGAGATGGAGCCTGATCATCTATCTCAGAGACAAACTCCTTGTTTTACAGCTTTGGCTCCTTCATCTCTGCTCCGTTCAGCCCCTGGGGGGAATTATTTAAAGCTTAGGTTTCCCTCTTGTCTAGGGTCTCTTCAAAGAGGGAGGGGTAGAAAGGTACTCCATATTCATTCACATGCAACATAAATCAGATATGGAACAGCTCACTCATAAAATAAATGCTAAGTACCAAGGTTCTCACATGTGTCTTCCCTTCACATTCAGTCGCAAGTTCCTAGAGGGAAGAGCCCGTCTTGCTTTTATTTCTGTCTCAGCCGCCAGCACGATGTCTGGCACGTAGTAGGTCTTAATATGTCCCATCCATCCATGCATCCATCTGTTAGCCGTCTGTCTGACTTTACTGGCCCAGGTGATGCTCTCTCATTCCTGCAGACCTTGGCAGGAGTCGCTTTTATGCTCAGGGCTGGGTTTTATGGTAATGCCGAGGCCATGCTGAGTCAGCCCCACCACATTACCCCAAGGTCAAGTTCCTCGTGTTTCCAGGGGATGAGTTTATAGTGGATTAGTTTTTTAAATAATTAAAATTAATTGCAGCAACCAAAAATCTTGCTCATCTCCTCTAACATTACTACTGTTAGATTCTTGCAGGAGGTTGAGACTAAAACTATCAAACCGTAAAGCATTTATCCAGAGTGCTGAATAGAGACTTTATATGTCACCTCGGCTCTGCACTGATCAAACTCCCTGTAGGTTTGTGTCTCCTGGCAACCAGGGCATTCAGTCATCATCTGGTCAGTGGTCATCTCTGATACTGCCACCAGTCAGGGAGCTCCACCAGAGGACCCACACACCTCAAACTCAAGAGGTTTTCTCCAAGGCTGGACACTGAATTTCAGGAAAGGATCCAACTGAAAGTAGAAAAGGCAGCCAGGGGCCCCAAGGGGGAGCAGTCACCATTTCTGTGGGTGTTGGGAGAAGGGTAGTGACCTCCTTACCGCACTGTAGGCGTAGGTTCTGATAGTCTTGACTGATTCTCCAAATGCGGAAAGAGACAGAGACCAAGATCCACTATACCATCAGCTCTTCCTGCTCGGTGGCCAACAGTGAATCCAAACGTTATGGCTCCCCTTCTGCCGTAAATCAGATTATTTCAAGTCGTGATGATTTTTCCTCATTTCATTAAATTACACATAAAGCAACATGCATTAGTTGTTGGAGGAATTACTGAATCGGAGCACTTGAGGCATTTGAAAAAGAAAATTCTGACTGCACTGAATTTAAAACTCCCCTTCTCCCCACTGGTACCATAGCCACCATTGTTGGGTCCTCCTCATTTCTCACCTGGCAGTCCATCCTTCCCACCACTGCCAAACCATATTGACCCTTCCCTTCCCACCATATTGACCCTTCCCCGCCATGTTGATCCTTCCTTCCCTGCCATGTTGATACTTCCCTCCCTGCCATGTTGATACTTCCTTGCCATGTTGGTCCTTCCCTTCTTGCCATGCTCTGTTGCTCTGCTTACATTTCTCTGGGTGGCCATTTTCTCCATGGGTCCACAGGCACCTCAGTATCTCCATCTTCCATTGGTGCCCCACTAGTCTTCCATGCATGGGGTGGGAGGGGCTTTCCTGACTGCTCTAGATGAATGGCCACAGCATATAAGAAAGCAGTGGCGGAAAGATATGTGTATGTGCATATATTTAACACTGTATTAGCTTAGTAAGGGGTTCATGTGGCATGATGAGTACAGTGCTAGGCCTGGAGTCAGGTTGATGGTCATTTCTGGCACTTCCCAGCTGTGGCCACTAGGTGGTGCCACAGTGAAGAGTGCTGGACCTGGAGTCAGGAAGACCTGAATTCAAATGCAGCCTCACACATACATGCCAGCTGTGTGACCCTTGGGCAAGTCACTTCACCTCTGTCTGCCTCAACTTCCTCAGCTGTAAAATGGGGATCATAGTAGCACCTGCCTCCCAGGGGTGTTGTAGAGATCAATTGAAATAAGGTTTGTAAGATGCTTAGCCCAGTGCCTGGCACAGAGCTTAACAAATGCCCCTTCCTTTATCTTTCCCCCCATGAATGAGAGAGTTGAACTAGATGACCTCTTTTGATCCTATAAAGGCACATATTCCAAGAACCAGCCACTTCCCAATACAATTGCCAACTTAAGAAGAGCAAAGGTCTGTATTTAAATGATCTAATCAGAGTTTCTTTCCATTTCTCTTTCTGTGTGTGTTTTTTTCCAGACTCATCCTCGCAGCAAATAGAGATGAATTCTACCATAGACCATGCAAACTAGCCGATTTCTGGGGGAACAACAATGAGATCCTTAGTGGTAAGTTCTTTGAAGTGTGATTCAGCTTGACTGTGCCAGGACGGCAAGGGAAAGGGGCCATCTGTGGGGTGGCAAGTACCCCGGGTCGGGCTCCAGCCCAGAATGTTCTTAGAGCACTGACCTTCTGATGTTTGAGTGCCTGTTGTAGGTTTTGGCTCTCGCCGTGGCCACTCTATCCTCAGCAGGCCTCTCTCTTCTAGTCTCTCTGGTGGGTCTCCTCTTCCAGGGCTGAACAAGCCCACTTGAGCTCCTTCAGTTCAATTCAGTTCAACAAGGATTTATCCATTGCTTCATCCTCCTCCTCCTCTTATCCCCCTAGTTCTCTTGACCCCTGAGGCTCCACCCTAGCCGCTTTCTCTGGACTCTCTCCCACAATGACCTCATTCTCTCCCATGAATTCACTCATCATGTCTGTACAGCTGATTCTGAAATCTGCGTCCAGGGCTAATCGGCTATCTGCACTACACCAGCATCTGTCTGCCCGCTGAGCTCCAACACTGCTAACTCAGCCTGTCCAAGCCAACCACCCTCCTCTCCCCAAAGCCACCCACCTTCTTAGCATCTCGAGCTCAGCCTCAGTGCCACCTCCTCCAGGGAGCCTTCCTTCATCTCCCCACCTTGGCCCAAGTTACTCTGTGTGCAGTTGAAGGGCAGCATGGTTGTGGTAGCCAGCCCAGGCTCCCTCCTGCCTCTGGCACACTCAGGCTGTGTGACCCTAGGCAAGTCATGTGCCCTCTCAGCATCTGAGGAGACTCTCCAAGGCAGGCATTTCAAGAGTACTAGTTACTTGGCATTGCTATAAGGTGCTTCCTCAGGAAGAGTTCCCTCTACCGGTGACGTCAGTGGTACAAACAACAAAATAATAGTAGCTGCTTCTAGGTATAATAGAATGTGAGCCCTGCTTTCATTTTCGTTCAATGTTAAGCAGGTGGCATCATGACTAGAGAGCTGGACTTTTGAGTCAGGAAGACCTCGGTTGGGGTCCTGCCTCAGGAACTTCCCAGGTATATGCCCTGGACAAGTCCCATAGCTTGTTTCTTTATCTGTCAAATGGAAAAATGATAGCCCTTAACTCTCAGAGTTTTTCTAAGGATAAAATGAAATAGTCTGTCAAGTGTTTTGTAGGCCTTTATACATTTTAGTACCTTTATCATTTTTGTCTCTGTTCCTAGTGCCCAGAGCAGGGGTGAGGAACCTGCAGCCTTTTGACTAAGTCCAAGTTTTACAGAACAAATACTTTTATTAAGGACATTTGTTCTGTGAAGTTTGGATTCAGCCAAAGGACTGCACTTGAGGACCTAGAGGGCCACATGTGGCCTCGAGGCTGTAGGTTCCTCATCCCTGGCCTTAGACCTTAGTAAGTACTTAGTAAATGCTTGGTGAATCGACCTGAATCCCACAATCCTGGAACAGAAAAGATCCTTAGAGATCCTTCCAGCATATGCTGACCTTTTCCAGTCTGCACAGTGGCCATGATAATGTTAACCCGGGGTTCTTAACCTGGGGTCCCCGAATTTGCATTTTTATAAAAATATTCTCAACTCTGCTTCAGCATAATTGGTTTCCATTGCAGTCATCTGCATTTCATTGTACACGGTTAGAAACATGATTCTGAGAAGGGGTTCCCAGGCTCTACCAGCCCACCTGCTGGCTGGGTCTGTAACACAGAAGAGCTTCAGAACCTCTGAGGCCACTGGAAAAAACAACCTGGATGCCAGACAAGGGTGATGACCACTCTGCTCTCAGGGAGGAGATCAGTTAAACAATCCTCTCTCCTCTCAGAAAGGTGGAGGCCTGCAGGTGCAGAACATGACATTTGCTCTCAGGTGGAGTGACTGCATCTCCATTTGTCGGGCTTACTCGCTCCTCTTTGTCACAATGGAAAGTTCAGTTCTGTGGCTTGGGGACAACATCCAGAAAACCATTCTGTAAAAAACAAGGGCATCAGGGGCAGCTAGGTGGCACAGTAGATAGAGCTCCAGCCTTGGAGTCAGGAGGACCTGAGTTCAAATCCAACTTCAGACACTTGATACTTACTAGCCGTATGACCCTGGGCAAGTCACTTAACCCCAATCACCTCACCAAAAAGCAAAACAAAAACAAAAAAAACAAGGGCATCTAGAAAACTGGGGTTGATTTTTGTGTTTTTAATTAAATGAAGCAAGGCAGATATCCCCTGGAACTCTGGTGTTCTGAACATGAGGAGTAGGAATTATGAGAGAACATTTTCTTGCTGGGGATATTTTTCCTTTAAAAATTTGAAAAGGAAACTATGTACCAAGTACATGTGAACTGTGACATTTTGTTTCTTCTCCAAATTTTCTCTGACCCTGAGCCCTTCACCCCATCCTCGGACCAAAGGAGGTTTCAAGCATAGAAGTATTGTCTGGTTTGAGAGCCTCTTGTCTGGACCAGCCTTATTTAACAGATGAGAAAAAAGAAGCTAAGAAAAGGGACAACTGTCTTACCCAGGGTGATATAGAGAGGAAACAAATAGCCAACACTTAGTTTTATGGGGGGAGAGAGGGACCACATCCTCCTAGAATTTGTGATTGAGGAGAAGGAAGCTAAATACAGAGAGAAGGATAGACAGGATCTGATGGGCTACAGTTCTGCCAAGGACATCAACCCTGGAGAGATAGGAAAGTCTCAAGAATGAAATTCCAAAAAAAATGAAGGGAAACAATTCCAAGGAAGAGAAAAAACAAGTGTTGTCTGGAAACTAATATGGATACAGAGGCAATTTCCCAACTAATTTAAAAGCTAGAGAAATGCAAATCAGGATGACCCTGAGGTCTCACCTCACAGCCAGCAAATTGGCAAAGGTGACAAAAAAATGGTGGCAGTCTATGTAGAAGGGATTGTAGAAAGATAGGCACACTGATGCATTGTTGGTAGAGCTGTGAAATGGTATCATTTTGGAAAGCAATTATGCAAAAAAAAAGTAACTAAAATGTCCATGTCTTTTGACCCAGAGATCCTATTACTGGGCTTATATCCCAAGGAAGCTATTGATAAGAAGAAAGTCCCCATATACACCAAAATGTTTATTAGCAGCCCTTTTGTGGTATCCAAGAATTGGAAACAAAGAAGATGCCTATCAATTGGGGAACAACTAAATCAATTGTAGTACATCAATGTAGTGGAATATTACTGTGCTCTAACAAATGACTTACATAATGAATACAGAGAAGCATGAAAAGATCTATACGAACTGATGCAGAGTGAAGTCAACGAACCAGAAAACCAGTATGTCCAATGACCACAGTGATGTAAATGAAAAGAACAAACACACACACACACACAAAGCGAATGTTGCATATGTTTTTGGACTCTTCCAATGTATTTATAGGTTGTGTTGATATTTTCTTACGTTTTTCTTTTTTCTTGTCTTAAAAAATACTATTTGCTATATGGGATGGTTCTCTGGGAGTAAAAGAGGGAGGGAAATTGAGGAAAGCTATGATGATATAAGAAACAAAAGATGTCAGTAAAAACTTATTTTAAAAATAAGTTTATTTAGTAAGTTTTTAATAAGATTTTTTAAAAATCCAGCAGGAGAAATATATATATATGTGTGTATATATATGTATATATAATATATATGTATATGTGTATATATATATACATATATATATATATAAACATAAAAGCAAGGAGAAGCAAGAGGATAACTATGAGTGTGTGATGTGGTCCTGTAAAAATAGTATCAATAATGTTAAAGCTGACAGTGATCCAAGGCAGGTGAAGGAGACTAAGGTAAACAAGAAGGGTTAGCGGGGAAGTCTTTTTTTTTTTTTTTTGTTAGCTCTTTTGCAGGAAAGAAGAAGGTCAAGGGAGGGAGAAGACTTTCACTTACCGTAGATGGGCCTGTGACAATGGACAGTGGAGAGAAGGCAGAACTGCTCTGGCTTTCCTTGTTTCTGTTTTCGCGGCCAAGGACAATGACCTTTGCCCTGGAAGTGACCAAACAAAATGACTACTGGTTGATCCACGAGATAAATGAGGGGATAGGAAGAGAGCCCCTGGCTGCCCTCGAGGAAGTCGGAGTGCTCGGCCCAAATGAACAACATCCTCGGAAACTCAAGGCCATGACTACTGAGCTGCTATCCGTGCGATGTGAGAGACTCGTACGTGGAAGTGGGTGCACGGGACCAGAAAAGAAGAGGTGTGCCAATTTTCTGAAAAAAAAAAAAAAAAAAAAAAAGAGTGGAGACTAGAGTCTGTAAACTGTGCTCCGGCAAGCTTGACTTCAAATCCTGGCCAAAGTTCTAGACTGGATCTCTGAAAAAGATGTGTAGTGAACATCTCAAAAGGACAGGCTGGTTTTAAAGAGCCGGGTCAATAGCAAGAACAGGTCAAATTCACCTCATTTCCTGTTCTGGACTGGTTTGCTAAGCTGCTAGGTCAAGGGAATGCTGCAGGTGCATCTTACCTAGATTTTACCAAAGCATTTAATTAAAACAGCCTGTTTTATTTAATGTTTAATTTTAATTTATTTTAATTAAATTAAATTTAATATTTAATGTTTAATAAAACGTTCTTATGAAAAGTTGGAGCGATGTAAAATAGACCAAAATCCAGTGAATTGGATTCAGAGTAGGTGGATTGCCTGGACCCAGAGAGTGGCCATTGATACATCACTTCTCAGGTCTCCAGTGGTGTGCCCCAGGGATTCGTACCTGACTGTGGGCTGTTTGACATATCAGTGACTTGGATGTAGGCAAGACAACCTCATGATATCTACAGAAAACCCCGCCTGGGAGGGATCACTCACTCAAGGGGATGAGAGAGTCAGGATCAAAAAAGAGCTAGAGGGCAGCTAGGTGGCTCAGTGGATAGAGCTCTGGCCTTGGATTCAGGAGGACCTGAGTTCAAATCTGGCCTCAGACACTTGACACTTACCAGCTTGGTGACCCTGGGCAAGTCTCTTAACCCCAATTGCTCATCAAAAAAGAAAAAAAAAACTTGACAGCCAAAGCATCAGACAGAATCAAATA